TGTAGCGGTCAATAAACAAGATACAATGGTTCGTTTTAAAAGTTTGATTTTCTTATAGAACTTTTATCAAATAGTTGGTGTGCTAAAAATTTAAAGAGTGTAGAGATGAGAAAATCAACACAGAAATTTTATCCTGGTTCGAATAAAAAGATTCTACCTCTAGTTGTTAATCACTATGAATAATGCTTAACCTTTTTCATTAAAAATATTGTTGTACAGATTACAAGATAATGAAATGAGCAAAGAATAGAAAACACCTTCCTTCAAAAAACGAACGGAAGAACCTTCCTTCGACTAACGAATGGAAGAACCTGCCTTGGCCAACTTGAAGAGAATCGCTCCGACCTTAGACACACTAAGCACGAGTTTCTCCTATTCACAAGACTTGACAAAAGGCAACACTATCACTTGATAACTTCCTCAGACAAACTGTATTCTCAAATGGCATAGATCCCTTTTCACTCATAGAGAGTTTCCCTTAGGCACAAAGCTCTAATACTCTCAAAATAAAAAGATTACTTTCTAAGAGCTGCGGAAAATACTATTTATAACCCAAGGTTCAGAAAATGAAAAGACAACTCCGAACTGCCAAATATAATTTATTATCATAACTGATAATCAATTATTTGTATTCGCTATGGGGTTTTCAAAAAGTGATAATCGATTATCCTGCGTGATAATCGATTATTTGCGTAACCTGGGCAATATTAAATCAGACATTGATAATCGATTATTCTGAGCAATAATCGATTATTTGCACGAGCAACTCTTTTCCAAATAGGCTCGTGACAATCGATTATTACACCAAATAATCAATTATCTACGCAAAGACTCTCTAAACAAGAAAACTTGCTAAGTGTTCTTAAATCAACAAAGTTATTCCTATACAATTTATTCTACAAAATGCTTTTAAAGTGAATATAACAAGAGTCTTCAAGTCTTCATCTTGTAGCATCATCAAAACCATAATATCTTCAAGACACCAATGCTCCTCATTGGTAACACCCAGGGTTATAGCGTGCTAATTCATAAGCACACGGGAGACCGAATGTCCGTCTCAATACGCATCCACACTTTGATGTTTCCAATTCCTCAACAATGAGATCCAATGCATATCGTGATACATGTCCAATAAGTCTTCTATATCTGAATCCTTTACAACGACCACTTGTGAGCAAGGGATTTTTTTCAAATGATGCCTGAATCTTGTTGTGTTGTATGATAATGATGTTATGAATACCATCCCAACAAGAATAGAGATCTCTTATACTGGTGCCCAAAAATTTCTTCCGACTCTAATGAATAGACTCAAGCCTGAAAGAAAAGAAAAGCATCAACAGTAGCAAAAAATATTTATAAAAAATAACTAAGTAAAATAAAATTAAAAATACCTATTTTGTGGTTGTGTTCCCTAAATGTATTACTCTGTTCGTCCAAGCCTTTACAAAGTATGTACTGCATGGAATAATCCAAGTATGATTCACATATTCGAAGAATAAAGGTCATGAACTAGAGGCGTATTGAAGACAATTCATATAGTCACCAAACATGGTCTGATTAGCACATTCCATCATGTTTTCCCATGCCTCCATTAACACATCCCAAGCCTCAATAGAATCAACTAACACTTTGCATTTAGCTTTAACATTTTTAAGGATGTGAAACCAACATAACATCTGATATGACTCAGGGAACATTTACAATAACATTCATCAAAGCTAAGTCTCGGTCACTCACAATGACTTTAAAACCGCCCTCAGATGTCAAAAATAAACCTTTCATCCTTTTCAAAGCCAAAGTGAAATTATTTTTCCTTTCACTTGACAAGAATGCAAATGCGGCTTAGAAGGTTAACCCCATAAACATCATGCCAACAATCTCAAGCAACAAAAGTCTATATTTGTTTGTTTTATACGTCAAATCAATCAAAAGTACAATATTAAATGCGTTTAACAATTTCATCGTATTAGTACGTGTCTAAAAGAGGTCACTAATAACCTCTGATTCGTCGACACACTTTCTCCAATGAATGTACTTATCTCGATCCAACATCATCATAAGTTGTTGTAATTCAGTTTTGGAACCTTTCAATGATCATTTATACGCATGCCTTGCGTTGTAGATTTGTTTAATCGTTGTGACATTACGATCATTATTTTCTTTCAGGGTTAATAAATTATTTGCAGGTGTGACTTTACTCTTTGTCATATCAACGAGTAATGACTGTTCACTTGGAGTTAACCTGCCAGCATAAGGGTGACCAACTAAAGTTTTAATGAAATCATGGTTGTGATGTCCACACATCACCTTCAACACCCATTCGTCCCCATCAGAGCACGATTTACCCTTTAACCTAAACGAACACTCACATTTTCGAGTCCCGTATACACTAGCCTCTGCATCAGGTTTGTATTTCCGATATTTCTCACTTCTTTCACATGCAAGTAAGACAAACGTTTTTCTTCTCCGTACACCAGTAGCTATGTCAGATCTTATTATAACCACGATAAATCCTAAATTATAACTCATGTCTCTCACCAATTCAATTAAGTGATCGCGAGAAAGAAATATTTCATTTGTGGTAAAATTATTTGTAAAATCTCCCTCTTCAACTTCTTTTATGAAAGAAGAAAAATATGATATAAACTAGAATGAACTTGAGAATCCATATAATGGCAATATTCTTCTATTTTACACAATATTCACCTATACAATTATTAAATTATTAAACAAATAAAATACAAATTAATAAAAAAAATATTTACATAATTATTAAATTAATAAACTAACATTTTAAATAATGGAATCTATACAATATTCACCTACACAATTATATTAAATTAATCAACTAACATTATAAAAAAACTAACATTATTTTAAATTAACAAACTAACATTATAAATTAATAAACTAGCATTTAAAAAAACTAATTATTAAATTAATAAACTAACATTATAAATTATGAAATATATACATATACAATAAATAATTAAAATAAAAGAATAAAAAATAAATAAATAATTGAATACAGTAAACTTGAAACGAATTTTCATATCCGTAAATACCTTCAACGAATATCAAAATCTGTCAATGAAATTCGATATCCGTTGAAGGGTCATCGAATATAAAAATCTATCAACCCTTCAACAGATTTGAAATTTCATTGACGGATTTCAATATCCGTTAACAAATTTTGATATCCGTTGAAAGCATTCACGAATATGAAAATCTGTTTGAAGCCTCCGTTTAAGCATTTGTACCTTCGACGAGCTGGTACAAGCCATTACCACCACTATGGACGACCATTGGACCACCTTCCTGCACCATGAACCTCTTCAACCAAGTTCTTGCACCACCACACGAGCACACCACCACACGAGCACACCACCACCAAGGAAGCACACCACTATCAAGGAAGCACACAACAGAGAATGAGAATGAGAATGCCATTTCTGTGAGGGCGGTGTATATAGTGGGGACCAGTTATTGAAGTGGTTAAAAGTTAAAAAATTAGGTGAAGCAGTAATTTTCTTTTTCACTGGTTAAATTGTTCTCTAAGGGACAATTGTGAAATGAGGTGATGGAGAAAGAAATCTGGTGTGGTGTAAGGAGAAACCCTCTCACCTAACTCACCTAAAGGTCATAATAACAAAAGATGAAATGACACAAATCGAAACCTTAGAACAAAGTATAACCCCAATTCAAATCTATCATATTATCTTACAAAGCTAGTAGACCAACTTCCTTTTCTTGAATTCTCAAAATAGAGCTCTCAATATAAGGAAAACATGAAAGCCAAAAGGTACTACCAAACAAAACAGGTTGAATGCAATATTGATCATGTCACTTAAAATCTCATTAACTCCAATTACAACTTTGACACAATAGATGATTGCGCACTACTCTCACAATGAAAAATTTGTCATGCGAAAATAAAAGATGATTCTACATAAAATATATTAATTTTTCCAAGCGCCATTGCCAAATTCTCTTTATGTGTTACATCATAGAAACATTTTACTAAACGATAAAATGTGTTATTTTTTCTTTTTGTAAAATCATCACATTGTAAAATATTTCTCCCATAAAAAGTTATTATTTGTATGTCCTTTCACCAAATAATAATTTTTATACTCTTTTTAACAACTTTTGTTGTTGTTAAAAGTGACAAAAATATAAATACTTACTATTTTATTATAACAAGTTTTGACAACATCGTAAGGAACTTGTGTTTCAACTCAAGACAGTTTTAACATTTGTAACTATTTTAGACTTATGTTTATGTTTTTCAGTTATCTTTTTATACTTTTTAATACGTCGTTTGTCTATAAATACTTATGTTTTTTCTATTGATTTTGTTTATGTTTAATATTTGTTTTGAAATACGACTTAGTGATGATCTAGTTGTTACAAAATTTTAGAAACAAAATTTCAGTACCAAAACTAACTAAGTCTCAAACCAAACAATACAAATCATCATAAATGAAATTGTATTTAGCGCACGCTGGACTTTGATACATGTATTTTGCACATATTTATGTCAAAGAATTGAGTAAGCTGATTAAAACTTTGATAGTAATTAAGAAAATCAAACTCAACCTTAGAAAAAGTTTCAATTCTCAACTAATTAAACTTTCAATATACATACATACATACATATATATATATATATATATATATATATATATATATATATATATATATATATATATATATATATATATATAATATTTTTTCAATAAACACATTTTTTTCCCAACCTTTTTTCTTGTTGTCATATCATATTTTCTAGAAACCCATCACCTCTCTCTTTTATTTTTTAGTTTCCCTCTTTGACTAAGTATAAATTGGTGTTTTAGGTATCATTCATATGCAATAGAGTCTTCCTCAGCCCAGTTAGAAAAAGACTTTACTTGCGTAGACGGACACTTCACTTCATGAAGTAATTAAGACACATTCAAAACATTAACATTATAGTATAGAAACAAAGATCATAAAAGTTTTAGCGATAAACAAGGATCATATATATAAAATAACAGTACGTAACAATTAACGATTTTCATGCATCTTGGAATGGACTAATAAAGTTATGTCTGCAGGAACAGCTATTTTAATGTCATAATTATCGTACCAACCAACAACATGCAGGTCTCTCTGCTCGATCGCTTTGATTTGATCTCTAATGTCAGTTCCTACGGAAAAAGGGTTTTCCATCACCTTAACTACACACACATTACGTTACCAATAAATTAAGTTAATTAACTAAACTCATCACTCGCAATATTATTATTTGAAACACAAAATATTATTCATTAGGGATAGTAAGGGACCCCAGGCCAGTAGGGTAGTACTGGAACTGTGTTGTAATCTTCCAAAGTGAAAGAACAGTTTCCTTCTCCAATATTCTGATGATGATGATGATGCTGCTGCTGCTGCTGCAGTGTTCTCCGTTTGGAGCAACGCAGAGCCTCTGACGTGCTTTCTACTGTTTCTTCTCCAGAGATTTCTGTGTAACCTGTTGACACTTGTGTTCTAGAAGCTTGCTCTCTCAGCATACCCTTCAACTTCATTACCTGCACACGCAAAACAGCTAAAGGAAGTGACCAGTTCCAAAGAATGAATGTCTACTTCATGCTACACTTCACCAAAGCACCAATCATTACGTCATTGCAAGCACCGAAAAACAGTGTTGTTAAAAAGAAAAGGAGTTGTATAAGTGCTGCTAAAAGTATATTTTCTCAAATGTGAAAGAAAAAGGTTCAACAGAGTGTGTGTATAATTAACTCCAACTCTGGTGCATCCAAGAGAAAACCCAGTTCAAATTTATCAAATTTATCACTTTTTTTTTTCTGGGTATAGAAATCTCAATACGTGTCTACAAAGAGTGAGGTGTCTATTTTGAGGTTGAAAGAAACAGAAAAGAAAAATGTAATCGATATTATGATATCAGAAGAAAAGGATAGACATGGAAAGCGACAAATGGGTGATTGCACTATCGTCACGTGTGTAAAAATTTGAGATTTGGGAACATATTGTTTAAGAAAATAATTCACGGTGACCCAATACCAGATGACATGTATACAGGGAAAGAAAGAGAGAGAAGTACATATATCATAATTAGTGTGTGATGTGATAAAAAAAAGAATGAAAAAATAGTAATAAACGATGATATATCTAATCACTGTGTTGTGTAAATGTAACCTACCTCTTCCTCTAGCTTCTGTTTCTCCTTGGATATGACATCAAATTCCTGTTTAAGTGAATCGTACAAGTGTTCGAGTTGCTTGTTCTTCCACCTTGCACGCCTATTTTGGAACCAAACAGCAATTTGGCGAGGTTGAAGCCCTAACTCTTTGGAAAGCTTCATCTTCCTATCAGGGTCTAGCTTTATCTCCTTCTGAAAACTACTCTCCAACGAGTCCAACTGGTCAGTCGTTAATCTCTTCTTCTTGTCCTGGTTCCCGCAGTTCATTTTTTCCATGGACGAACTTGACTCTGCTATATTTTGTTGCTTCACTTCAATTCCTTGATTAAGTAACAGACAGAAACAGAAAGAGAGTTTTCGGTGAACAAGAGTTGCAATTTTCTTAAAGGGTTGAGTGTCTTTTTTAACGTTGACCGAGCCAAAATATGAGATGTAGTTGCCAAATTAACTCGGCTGTTGCTTTAACATAGGAGTATACCTATTCTATTGTGTAGCAGTTGTTGAAGAAAAGCAATAATTATGGAGCGTAATAGGTTGAAGTGGAAGTTACTATTCATTCGAAGTTTACAAAAATAGAGTGTGGAAAACGTAAAAGAGTGAGTAAAATGCATGGTAGAAGGGAGTAAGCAGTGAAAAAGAAAAGTAAGTTGATGCCATTCAGGGAAAAGGGTGAAGAAGGGTTTTAGAAGAAGAGTAGATAGTTAGTTTACCTGGGTATGGTGTGTAGTTGTAGTTGTAAAGGAAGCCGAAGGAAGAGTCTGGTCGAGGAACATAACGTCTTGTGCTTCCATTCCACTCCATGTCTGCTCTTGTTTTCTTGTCTCTCTTCCCTTTAACTTATCACACTCTTGCTCCAAGCTTTATATGGACCTCACTTGCTTCGGCAAATACATGGACCACACAGGCAGTGAAGAGAAGATAGAGAGAGCTGATAAATAGAGTTTAAGGGATTAGATTCCTCTAAGAGAAAAATAAAAAGAAAAGAATAGAGTTTATGGCATTTAAAGGTGTACTGAGAAGGATTTAAAACAAAGGTGGGTATATTAAGAGAAGGGATGTGAATTTGGTGAGGTTTTTGTTGCGTGGATGATCCTACTTCACTTTTGGGGCGCAACAAAGTATTGTGTTTAATGCAGAGACCGTACTAGAGAGTAGGTTGGGAAGAGAGAGAGAGAGAGAGAGAGAGAGAGAGAGAGAGAGAGGAAGGCGTGAAAAAGGGAAGGCATGTGTCAGTTGGCCCCCAGGAAGGCTTGAAAGGGGACCATATTTGATCATAGACCTATGAATCGGGTGTTTCAATTGTGGCACTATCTCTTTGTGTTAGAAGAAAAAATGGTGGCAGTTTTGCAAAATGGGTAAAATGGGTTAGAAAACGGGAAATTAATAGCAACATAGGAGAACTCGTTTGGCCCTCAAAAGAGGGTACGTGAACCTGTCATCACTGCTACACTCATATGAGACAAATAAAGGAAGGTAAATAAAACACAACACATAGCCTCACCTCACTCACTTGTGTTTCTTTGAACCTCCACCTCTCCCTTTCACCTTAATTATATCTTTGCAGTGTCACAGAGAAGAAAGCTGAGACAATCTCACTTTCACCTCTCCTGTCTCTAGATCTATCTATCTGTTGCTTCCTTGCACAAAATCGGGATCTGGGTTTCCATTTCAATTTTCCTGCAAACAAACAAATCCATTCATTGTCTGTGCTTTCGTTTGGTGCACAGATTCCACTGGTGTTTCTCTGTACCTTTTGCTCCCAAATTAAAGCAGAGCTTTGAGCGATAAGGAAGGCCTTTCTTTCGGCCCCAAAATCCTGACAGAGATAGGTGAGACAAAGCTCTTTGTAGTATCCAACTTCTACTTCTGCTTCCCCTCCAACTTCTTTCTCATCTCCCATCCTCACTCACTTAATACTCTCCTCTCATGTACCACTCATAATAATAATAATTCATATCCCACTATCTCTTTCATTACATCACATCACAAACTAATTCTTCCATTTCTTCAATCATCTCTCATTAATTACCATCTCACAAACAAATAATTAACTCATCATCTTTTGTCACTACAATCTCATCCATAAATTCCTTTTATTGACGTTGCACCCATATCCCTCAGATCATTTAAATGTTACCATTCTTTTAGCTTTACTTTAATTAATTACATAACTTGCTTATTTCTTTGTGGGCCTTTTAAAGAAACCTATTTATTTTAGTAAATGCATTCGACCAACTACAATTGCTCTTTTATAATACTTTTCGTTGCTTTTTTATTTCGGCCGTGGATCTAGAGTAAATGTAATGATTGATTATATATATGATTTATTAAATAACATCTTCTTATACTGTTATATTAAGAGAAAAAAATTAAAAAGAAGGAAAATATGAAGTGACCTTAATTAAATGTAACTTATAATAGAGTTTTGTTGGAGTGAAAAAGATGAAAATTAATTATTTCTTACTAAATAACACTTTTCTCTTTAAAAATCCAAACTTGAAATGTCAAATACAAAGGGATGGCAATTTTCATGTTCTTTTGGATTTTGGAGGTTCTTGTGGGTACTATTTCATTTGACTACGGAGACAAGGATATATGAGGAAAAATTCCCACGAAACACATTTGATGATGTTGATGCGATCTTTCCCACATGAAATCTCTATAAATAAACCACATTTTAATCCTTTTAATGTGATTTAATTTCTGTGTCTTAAATATTATGACATAGATATAAAAGTTCTACGTAAAACTATACTATATTAAAAGTTGTCAAAACTAATTAATACTTAATTTTTCTACTGGTTCTTAGCATAAAAAAACACCTTTTATTCATAAACAATGAGCTTTGCTTACATAAACAACAAATTTATATTAAAAAAACACCTTACCGATGCATTTAAACAGCTTCCAGAAGTAACAACATTGTTAATGATTTGGTAGAGGAGAAAAAAAGAAAGAGATTACGTAAGAAATGATACAATAATGAAGAGAAATAGATAAAAAAATTATATTGCATGAATTGCTGTATGTGCATCGTATCTCGATATCAAATAGTTTAATATTGAATTTTTAATAATATATGGTTTGAATGTTATAGGACATTATCACGAGGAGTTGTAAGGAGTGAATGAGCATAGGAGAAAAAAAGTTACTAGAAGCCAAGAAAATTGGGAACTGTAACGGAGGAACATTATGAAAACATAGAGAGTAAGAGAGCCCCACGTGAGCACCGTTCTCAGAATATCACACCTTCTGAAACTTCAACAATGACTGAGGATGTTCCAGTAATTTGTCTACGTGACCACTCTCAATTAATTCATTTACAGATCCAATCAGTTATAGCTTAATCGACCATTAGGTCAAAAACAGATCAAACTTCTCTAGCTCTATGCCATTATTGTGTTTACTCATCTTTTTTACTTTTTGTCATGATCGAAGAAAGAAAGAGTACAAATTTGTCAAACAAGAAAAAAAAAACTAGTTACTCTTTTTTTTTTTATATCTGATTATGACAACGTAAACAGAATTCTAACTTTTGGAGGGCACACAAATTTGTTTGTATATATATATATATATACATGTTACAAAGCAGATTAAATAACCTTGCTTTATTTTTGCTGAATTTCTTAAAAAATCTGGATTATAGAAGGATTATTTATAGTTTACTTAGCTAAATTGTTAGAAAAGCATAGTTTTATCAGGGAAAATAAATCTCATGATAGATCATGGTTATGAGTAGTACAGGTGTAGAAATTTGATCCATAGAGAAAAAGTTCAAGAGGGTTTGGAGTTAATGCACTAAAAATGAAATGCTGTCACGTATATATAGGCCACAAATAGTGTCAGAATTTTGAAAAAAAGAAAAAAAAAACAAACAAATGCACTTTTACCCTGATGTTTAAACGTTTCATAATGAAAGAATTTCAAGTGTTTTGAGTGGGAAAATAATGAACTTGTTTCAATACAAATGCAGTGAAAGCAGTTTTTTAAGTGTTGAACGTAAGAACATAATAGTAAAGTAGGATTAAATGGTAACTGCGACGCTGAGCGATAGAAAAAAGTTAGGTAGCTTTTTATTGTGCAGGTGCTCCTTTGAAAATATGACTATCACATATTTATGGCAGCACAAGAATTGTTTAGTTTTAAAACTTGTGTGCTTCATTTTTTAATATTAGTGGTTTGTTCATATATATTGAGAGTGTGAATGGTGATTTGTATGTAGAGTAGGGTTATTGTTTTGAAAGTTTCGAAGGACTGAATCAAAGTTGAAGTGTATATTAGCAGAAAATGTTAGTGACTGCATGAACAAGTTGTGACGCATCAGAAGCATTATCTTCAGAGGAGAGAGAGAGTGTTTCAGCAATGGTACCACACACATACTGAAAACACTAAGCCAAACAGCAATGGGTAAAAAAGCTAAAGCCTTTATTCTAGCTAGGTTGCCTATGCTTACTTACCAAATTATTTTGATCCCAGTGCTCTCTCTCACCACAATTAAGCTCCCATTCCAAAGCCATAAACAGAATCAAAGACTGGATTTAGTTTAATAAAATCATATTATATGTATAATATATAAAACGAAAGAGATGAAATTATTATATATATATGTGTGGCCTGAAATTTCATATCAAAGTCCAATGAAGCATGCATCTTTTTTTGTAAAGCCTGCAGAACTAAGTTAAGGTCACGTTAAATCCAAAGATTAGGTCAACCTCTTTGAAAAGCATTTGCAGTGCCAAGAATGATTTTGCATGAAAGACATTTTGCAATTCTTGTGTAAGTTACAAAACCACCTACAAACTTCATTTTCTGATCTATGAATAAACCAATAAAGGAAGGATGCCACATTTCATATTGCTGCCACGAATGCCAATATTTAAACAATTTGGCAAAATTAAATTCATCAATTTGGCAAAATGTTTACATTGTTTGCTTCCTTTTTTTTTTATCAAGAAACAAAAATGAATTTTTGCAAAATGTGCTATTAATACTATAACTTTCTCCCCACACACACCTTTTTTTTTAATCAGTAATAGAATTTTTTTTATAACTATAATAGAATATTTGGGGTGTAATAGAGTACTTGGGGTTAGGGGTGGCAAAATAAACAATCCGTTTTTTTTAATAGGTTATTATATTATTTTTTTTTACACTCATTACAAAGATAATAAATAGATATAATGTGATATCATCAATTAAATGATAGAGATAAAGATAATGTTGTGTAAATATTTGTTTAGCCTATGTTTGGATAGTATGATTTATTGTTGTCGTAAACAGAAGAGCGAATGTGAAGTGCATTTGTTTCCTAAGATTAACTGAAGAGATTCGGCGAGAAAAGAACGTGATTGCAATCAAAATTACTTATTTGGTCCTTTGATTTGGATCGAGAATTTGAGGAGAAAAGAGCATTTAGGCACAAGTACGTAAGGGAATCGACTATGGAGTTAAGAGAATTAATTATCTTCTTTATTATTTCTAAAAAATCGATTCTCCTTTTTGAATAATCGATTATGTTGTGTTTTTCTTTCAAATGTTGAGATTAGACATTCTTATAAATGCAAAAGTTTGAAATGGAATTAACATTTTTTTTATTTCTTCTATATAAACTTTTATTTGCAGAAGTTAAAAGATTGAATCTGTAATGAGTAAATAAAGTTACGTGGCATATCTAAAAAGTGTGATAAATGGGTAGTTGGAATAAAAAAGTAGCATTGTGTAAGAAGTGTGAGAGTGGGTGATTAAAGGCTATATATGATTAGGGTTGGTGAGTAATCCAAAGTTAGTAGTGTAGGTCGATTCCATAGATGAAGTCTTGGCCTAAGTTTTCTGACATTTGGTCTTGCATTGTGTTGTTGTAGCTAT